AATGTTCATGTTGACGCAGTCCACGGGACTTCTTCCCTCGTTTCGGGGGAAAAGGTTCTGAGCTTTCGTCCATCATATGATGGACATCAGCAGAGCTGGGTGTCATTCTTGTAAAAGGATTTCGTTAGCACAGTTTCGCCTGTATCTATTTTTTGTTTTTGGTCTCAAGGCGAGAGAGAAAAAGTAAGCTAAAAGTACAGAGAAGTGACTATGCTTATAACCTAGACAAGAGATGTATTCATCATATTTCGTTTAAGGTGATGAAGGACTGGTAGTGGAATTGTCGATAAGGCAAGCGTATTTTTGCCATAACAAGCGTCTCGAAACTCTACTTATATATAAAAAAACGAAGGAATTTGCCAGCCTTAACGTCACGGTAAAATCTAATGACCGCAAAGCAAAGGAAAACCGTAATCATATTTTGATGAGATAGATCTACAGATCTCTTTATCGTCCACTTTTGACGCGAAAATAAGTTCAACTAGACATATCTTTCCATAGCTTTATAACCTCCCCTCCATGCGGTTAATCTATGTCATCAGGCCTATTATTGTTCGGATCCGGAGGGCCTAGCAAACCACAATGCTAGATGAGACTGTCTGTGCAAAGCTCCTCTTCGAATTCTATAATAATAAAGCGTCCTAATGGCTTATTACTCAAAATTCTGGTGTAGTTAAGAGGATTCGGGTTGAAGCTATCAATCGATGAATTGAATAAAAGAGCAACGGTATTATAAACCTAATTAATAAAAGTTAAGTTAATGGAGCATTTAATTAGTGATCTAGGTGCTCTTGATTGCATAAAGTGGTGAAGATATGAGAAGCTGGGTGACTGACTTGGTCAGAGCCAGAAATCAGCATTTACAAAAAATTAACCATAACACTAAACCCAATCTATTTGTGGTTTAAATATCACTAATTCTTGAATAAGAACTTACTCTTCTTAGTCGAAAAATATGAAGACTAAGATAGTGTGCCCTTTTGTATGGTTGTGGTCTAGTAGTTGTTGATGACCTTGTTTTCATAACTTGGTCATATTGGCAGTGAAACCTTGTCCGGAGTCCATAATGTCTAGAGTCGGATCGTGGACTTGGCACATTCCTTATATTGCTCAGAGATATTAAGGGACTGATAGTTAATACTTTCCAAAAAGAAATGAGTAGGACATAGAATGCTACTGAATTTCATATAATAAGACATAATAATAAAGCAATCTATCCTGCTGGCCTATTCTCTATTTGCCATCGGTTGCGACAAGCTGAATAAGGGAAGAAGAGTTTTTTTATTCCGGCACTTTTCCCTCTCCTCCACTTTCCGGACTTTCTCTCAATTTCAGATTTCGTCGATCTACAGGCTAGTGATACTTCGGCGGCTCTGCTGCCCGTTCGTGTTACATGTCGTCGGGGCAGCATTCCTCTCCATCCTTATCCTATCTTCAGCCTGTTCCTCCTGTTCCCCGACTACCATTATCAGCTTATTCAACCGTCTTTATCAGAGCAACCACAGACAACAGAGATCTTGATGAAAGGTTACTGTACCGCTAAGGGTGCAAACAATACTGCAAGACTGAGTTCCTCTCAATCGCCACATTCGCCGCCAATTAACAACACTTGTGCTAGCAGCAAACAGAGTCTCCGAGTGCCGGTCAGGCCGTCGCCTGGAACCATCTCCTCCTCATCTTCCGTATCTTGCTCACCGATCTCATCTTCCCTCTCAGCCGCCTCAGTCCCCTCCACTTCGAGCCGGATCTTTTCGGAGTTCAGCCGATCGGCGGAACAGACCATACCCAATCGTCCAGTGCCTGGTGTCTGCAGACCAACGAAACAAAGCCATGCTCTTCCAGAGCATCCATTACTGAAAGAGCCATCTTCGGTAAGTAATACATGTGGCCCATACGGCTTATGATCGATAGTATGCCCTCATAATCTCTGGTTTCCAAGCTCAGAAATCATATAGACCATGGCTTATCCAATTAGATTTATATAGGTCTGCTCGCCACTATAATCCTAACAGTATATTTGCTGAGGAAAGTAAAAACGTTGGATATTCCTTAGAAATGATGTTATAAATTCATTGAGAAGATGCGCTAGATTTAATATTTTTTTCTTATTCTTAAATGTTAATAATTCTAAAGCCTATTCAGCAAAGGTTTCATTGCTTTATCCGGTACCAGGAAGGTCAGCTCGGTGATAGTAGACTAATTACCAATTCACATAAGTAAACTACGGAAAGCTTTAGAATTTCCTTTCTCATAAATATATATTAAAAATGTATAAAAGTCGGAAACTGGAGTTTAATAGCATTCCCAAATTATCTTAGGAAGCTCACTGCCTAACCGGTTTTAAGATAGAAATTTATGTATTGCTTAGTTTTAATCAACTTATTTATGACTGGCTCTTGGCGTTTGTGGAGAGTTTTATTTTGAATGAAAGTGTACTAAGAAGAAATTCGTCCGTCGGCCTGACCAGGGCCATTATCAATCTTTTAAGCAATACTTCGATACCACATGTTCTTCACATCTACAATAGTAGAGAGGCCATTAAAATCAGCTAATTATGCAATATCTTAAATGCAATAAAAATTTGTAAAAATATTAAGAGTTACTCTTAGCTGGAAGTCGTTTATACGAAGAAAAGTTGGGTTTCATGGAATCTCTTGTTTCATAATTGTTGTGCTTACTTTTATTTCCAGTGAAAGTTTTTGGTGAAGAGATTTGAAGGTCGATTCCGCCAGAAGACGACGGTGGATCCCTCTTGACCAGCTGTCGATCGGCTTTACTGGAAAATTCGCGGCGAAGCTGTTTCCGAAGCAATCTCTTTTGATTCCAATGAACAGGTGCCAAGTTTTCGTCAGTCATATGATGAACATCATCCGTGCAAAGTATCATCTTCACAACCAACTTCAAGCTAACGAGTCCAGTAAATTCACCGGCACTTTCCTAAAAAGCCATAACTGCCGGTTTCATGCATAGGAGTTTTCTTGACTCGTTAGCTTAAATTTGGTTGTGACGATGATACCTTGCTCTGATGGTGTTCGTAATATGACAGACGAATGCTTAGCACCTTTTCACCGGAATAGAAGGCGATTACCTCGGAAACAGCGTCACCGTGAATGTTCCAGTAAATCCAATCGACAGCTGGTCAAGAGAAATCCGCTTTCGTTTTCTGGTGGAATCGACCTTTGAATCTCTTCACCAAACACTTTCACTCGAAATGGAAGTATGCTCAAAAGAAGTTGTTTGACTTGGTCGTGTTTTCAGGAGCACCCAGAGAAACGTAAATTGTCTGGAGTCTATAAAATGCATGATAATTTTCAGAGTCGGACCGTGCACTGGGTACTATTGGTTGCTAAACATTTGGGGTATCTCTACTTCTGTCCTGGTGCATTCACCTATCCTATATCTTCGTATATGTTTAGCAGACAATTGGTCAAAAGACTGACCTTACTTGTGTTTTTCTGTGGTGCTAAACGTTGCATGTCTCACTGTCGATGCCGGCAACGCGTCAGGCATACTATGGACTCTGGACAAGTTACGTTCTTCTGGGTGTTCCTTAAAACGCAGCCAAGTTTCGAAAACAAGATCAAACAACTTCCATGCAAAGAACTGACATAGTGATCATACTAATGGCCTCACATCTTTGTCTTTGGACCTTACTCATGCTTTATTACTTGTACTTAATTGCTAAACTTAAAGAAAGAGATGGTGCTGAGCCGCCTGGAAGAAGGCTGCGATTCAACCAGTATTTTTTTGATAATGCTCCAAAGTACGGTCACATATTATATGTTTCCTAATTCATGCTCGTTTACACAGATGAATAGTTTAGCAACTTAACTATAAGAGTGTCCAGCATAACTAAATCAGATTGATGGACAAAAAAAAGGGGGGTGGTTGTCATTAAATATTGATAATGAAGGACATATTTGACCTTCTTTTCAAATTACCTTGCACGTGAATGCCGATAAGCATGTTTTTTTATCGAAATTTGATTTGAATTAATCAAATCAATTTGTACCTTAGCAAAATACAGATTTTGGATTTGGAATATATATATATATATATAATTTAGGGATAAAATGGTCAGTATGAATGACTCATTAGCCTGAATACTGTTTGTAATCGTAATACCCCTTTAGGATGATTAACGTCATATAGCAAACGAAAACTTAACACTTTTGACACGAGTTTGCATTACGAAAGAAAAGTTGGTTTAAAGGAATTTGTGTGCAGGCCGTTGAATTGCACAAACAAGTACTAAGATCAACGTCCTTCTTTGGGTACAACTATTTATTATTTGCTTTGCAGGCTTTAATTCAGTATATTCTCGTTTTTGGCCTATTAACAGATAACTCTATTATTTATAAGCCTAAATTTTCTTGTTAAATATTCATAATTGCTTAACTCAAATACCAACCACATGTTTTTCTCAACATGCACAAATTCTTAAATTGAATTGCTTTGGTTTTTTTTCCTGATCATTTTCTACTTCACCCATTTCCATTGTGGCTAGCCTTGTCGTTGCAACTGCCTTGAATATCTCAACCAGCTCTTACTCCAGCCACGATTTGTGCTTCTCCTCATTCGAGTAATCGAAGCTGATAGCCTTGTGGGAGCAAAGGCCAAATCTGTGATGGCATCTCTTCTCTCGATTATTTTGCACGACCATATGGACGTATATACGCAGCAAGTTTGATAAGATTTATTTTTAAGAGTCTCTTTGGCTAACTACATCTGAGACCACATGTGTGCTCAGTAAGAGTGCCCTTAAATGACATTGCTTTTCTTCATGTTATCTATTGCTTGCTGTTAGCCATTCACGTTTGTAGAGGACCTGGAGTTCGTATGGTATCGTGTTTTGCCTGAATGGGTCCAGTTGGAAGATCTCGCTTTTCGATAGAGCGTTTGGATTTTTGAGAACTAGAACTTGCACACACGAACGGTGCAGTATGGCTAAGATAAAATTTATCAGATTTTGGGAACAAACGACTGAGTTATTGAGTTAGAACTTAGTCAACCTAGGTTTCCTAACATGAATTAGGCGCTGATAATTACGTTTTTCCTCGAGGAGATGGTTATACCGTATAATGCCAATGAAGTTAACTTAGTATAATCCAGAGTGAATTGCAGTCTTGGTCTAATCAGCACCCCCAACAGGATTCGATACCGAGTCGTGAGTATCGTGGCAACACTATTGCCTCACTATACAGTTAGGGGTGCCAATGGGTCACAGAGCAGATGTGGCATTCAAGGTAAGCCAGACCTCTTCAAAACCATATTTATTGTGAAATTGTCAATTAAGTACATATATATTTGTCATTGAAATAGACGATGCTACTTATCTTCGATATAAGTAGGCTTCAAGCTAAATCTTGAATAAGAGAAAGCCTTTTGGGGGCGCAGGTAAGTAAAAATCACTTACCTCCTGAGGCCTATTCATCTAACTGTGCGAAAATCTAGCTAACTGTCTTTAACTCGCATAAAGTGAGCTTAGTTCACTAAGTTCTTGTTTAACAATTATCGATAGTCTTGAAAACAATTTGGTCAGTTTAGTAAGGAAACGCACTCAAAATAGAGCCTGAGAGTTGAAGAACTGCTGGATTTGTTTCTTTTCAGATTAGGACTGCCCAGTGACAGAATAAAGCCTTCTCTTAATCAGGTGACTCTTCCCTTATCATGTACATCATACATCAAACACGATGCAAAATTACTCTCAGTTGCCACATTTTATAAAACTGATTTACCTTTTTGAAGATCTTGCCCTTATACTCAGTTTTTCATCACCTTAAACAAAATAGGATGGATATAGCTTATATATAGGATCTAGTGGTGGCGTTAAAAATCTACTTATAAACGAAAAATAAGTAATGTATTCGATTGTTATAACAAACACAACTTTGCTTCATCTCATAACAGGATGCAATATTGGGAAATGCCAGGCTTTCGTTGAAATTCCCATCTGCCCTGTGACGCAAGGGAAATCGTGGAAGTGTGGTGGATTGGCTGACGTGTCTAGATTGCACTCTACACTGTCGTGTTTCGAGTCCCGTTGGGAGTGTTGATAAGACAAAAGCGAGGTCGGAACTGCCATCCACTCATGACTGAAGCAGGGCTTTGTTAAATTATAGGGAAACACAAGGCCTATTTATGTCAATGAACGAAAATTCAATTAAAGTCCTTTATCACCTTAAAAGAAATAGGGTGAATACATCTCATCTATATAAGCTACTGGTATCCTCGAAAAATTATTTATAAACGAAAAATAAAAAAATCTTTTCATTACTTTTATCCCACTCTATGCTGAACAATATATGCTTGAAAACCCAAAAACTACCATAAAAAGAATAAATCTTCTATTGCCCAATGACCCATTGTAGAGCAGTAGAAATATGCGGATATCGAAAAACTCCTGACAACACACTTTATGAGTATTTCCAACATATAGACTGGCAATATTTCCCATGCTACAGAAATTCCATGAAACTATAGAAGTGGCTTTTTAGTAAAGGGCGTAAGTCTATAGAATTTTCATTTCGAATATAAATTATGTTGGGAGGGATTATTAATTTGCTCTTACCTAGACGAATCCATGCTGAGATTTCATCTACAATATGAAGGAGCCAGAAGCTAGAATTTTTGAAAGAGCACGAATACATAACGGAAAGTAAGCTTAGCACGAATGGATCGGTATGTCGGAGCTTTGTGCCCAGTATTTTTCGCAAAAATCAACAGTCTCAACGCAAAGCATTTCTTCTTAGATTTCATGTCGCAAATATACAAATGCCCCCCTGGCATTTGCCAACGAACTAAAAGGTACAAAAGGGCAACAGTATTAAAGGATTCTTCGAACACAGCTTCTCCTATTCCAGAGGGACCTTTCTGGGAACTCCTAAATGCACTGTCCATCCAACTTCTCTTGTCCCAGAAACTCTCAAAGGTTCTGTGTTTTATTCATAATTTAAAAGTATAGAAGCTTCAAGCTCTCGCATGGTCTGTGTTAAAGCAGGCATATTCGGAGCAAGGTACTGCCTTCGTATAACAGCCTCCCACCAGAGTTATTTTAAATAGTAGTTCTTCCATTGAGAACAAGGTTTAAATCCATGTCTGTCCAGGATTAGCTCAATTCAGATGCTCTTTGCACAATTAAATTGCGATAAAATTAGTTGTAATCTACAAATTCTTATAGTATTTTTTCCTCTTATACCTTATAGAGTTCTCTTTTCTGCAATGACCGAGTTTATGCAGAAAATCTATTTTAGCGGTGAAGCCAGCCGTCTAATAACTGTCTTTCGACGGTCAGAATCTGTCAGCACGAAGTTGCTCTCCAACTGGCTCAGCTTCTTAGCCTATCCCTTAATTCAGGTAGGTCTCCATTGATACCTTCGGAGCTGATAATTGTGATATCGATGACAGTCGCTATATATGGCATATAACTAGACCACGAAGAATAACTGAATAATTAAAAAATGTTGACCTCTTCTATTTTTTAACAAATTTGCTTAGAAGGGACTCGTAAGTTGTGCAAAAGCTAACCCTGGTTGTTGCATATGGTCAGAGAAATGAAGCAGGCGAAGACGAAGAATGAAAGGACAAGGCTAGAATGCCCTTTCCATATGAAATGAAATTCCAATGATCGGTCTGCTGTTTTGGCTCTTTCTAGGCCCCATCCGTAACTAAAACCGATATCTAAACCGGCCAAACTTTCATAGCAATCATGCTACTGCATACTTGCGGCACCAATTATAGAGGTCTTAGTAACTCAATGAGAATCGAAGTTTTTTCAACAATTTAAAAATTTGGGCTAGTTTTGATCTGCGCCTGGGGCTCGGAATTGGGAATTTTTCTAATATTAAAGTCAAATGTAATGATTGGTTGGCCCAAGACCTAGTAAAAACATCTATTAGTGGTATTTATTTGATTCAAATCAATTACAGGCAAGCTTTTACTAGAGATAATCGAAGGGCCGATTATTTTCATTTTGTATAACGAGCTCAAAGATTTGTCTAGCTTGGTTTTCTTGTCAAAGCTCGAAATAAATCTGTGCTCATATTCCAATGAACCTGTGTGAAGAGTTAGCATATCATGAGATTAAGATATTCAGAATGACAAGTCATAGAAGAGACATCATGATTACCCTTTGCAATATGCATCGTAATATGTGAACAAGATTAAAATAAGTAACACTTTGATCTGGTCCTTTTTCGATCACTTACAATTGATATTGCTTCATTTTTTAGGAAGAGATTGGTCAACCCCTCTACAATTTTTACTTGGCTTTACGGCAACAGTGTAATTCTGGTCCACGAGACGCAGTCACCGGCAACGCTCATTACACACTTGACATTGGAACTGTGCTAAAATCGGATATTCAACCCAATCACTTGGTAGGCCTACTTTATTTTAACGTTGTTACACATCATATTTTCTCGTTTTTACGTTAGAAGGACATTTACTTTATTTTTTTATTTAGAGTGAATATGACTATCTTTAAAGAGGATTTCAATTTATTGGCAAATTCTTATGCTTACTTTATGAGCAGGTGAACTGAGCATTCTATGCCACATATTCCTGTAGTACACATAGCATGTACGTATAGCATGCGCAAAGCTTTGAAAACCTTTTTATTTCACGGAGTATAACGCCTAGATACTACATTTTCCAGGAAAACAGGTAATAGCAGATAAGTGTATTCATGCGAAAGTCCGATTTCACATAATTTTCATCTTCGCTTCATCAAAAATCAAATTTCCATTGGACTGTATTAATACATGCATTTCTTTTCTATCTCTTCTTACTGGCGTTTTCCTTTTCTGGTACCGATAGACGTTGTTTGTGATTGATCCAAATCACAGCTTCCATCTTGCAGATGAGAAACAACCTGTCCATCTTCTTGATTGCGATTCTGTGACACAAGCGAAGGAGAAGGTACTCGACTGTATATTTGGAGGGGAACCTTATTCAAGCCGTGCGAAGCCATTCGAGATAGTTTTAGGCAAGTCCATGAAAAATATACTTTCTTTTAGTGCCTTGCTGCTAAGTTCTTAAAGTCTCCCAACTTGAGATGTTTCGGGTTTATCTGCTCATTTTAATGCTACTTCAATAGCAAATCGTAATAAATTGAATATACTGATATGAAAATGAATTTGGATGGATGTCATTACACATCACTAGCTATAAAATGCATGCCATAAATGTTAGATTTAAAGCCTTGATTATCATTAAAACTATTTAAAATTGAAAACTTTAAAAATGACTATAATAAAGACAATATGCTTCTTTTTATTGAACTTACTGTTGTCCTCTATTAATTGAAGTTTGCGGCTATTCCTTTATTCCTGTATGCAAATTTTAGGGTAAAATAAACCCTCAATATATGCGCAACGATTACTTTATGCCATAAGGGTCATTGTTTAGTTATTTTCTGGCTAAAACATCTGGATTTCAACAGCAACTTTCATATAGTTGAGCAAATCATCCATGAATGAGATACATTTTTTCAATTCTTACTTGCCTTAGGAAACAGAGTGAACAGTTTATCTCAATGAAAATTTCACTCATCAGAGCCTTAACGTTTAATTAAAGTTATCTTTTTTAATTACTCGATTCTCCTTTTGAAAATTTACAACGGTTTAGCCAAGTTTGCGGGAGTTTGTCGAATTCGGATAGCGATTCAAGAGGCGCGGATAGGACTCCTGTTGCTATTACTATGAACTAGGACCTCCTGGGCTGGAGGTATGGATTCTTCCCATCTCATTTCCAAAGGGAATGGTTGTTAAGGGGTTGGTTAACCCTGCAATAAGAATGCAGATCAAGCCTAGTCTATGTGGTTAAAGGAGATTTGTGACCAATCTACAGTATCTTAGTCTTCAGTTCTAGTCTGCTTGGATGTGTTGACGGTTGAAATCTTATTAATCAACCTCGACTAATTCCTCTAAACCTCTTCTTTGCTAGAGTGAGATCTAAACAACCTTCTGTAGCCGATCGTACATAGGAAGACGTAGAGGGTGTGGCCTTATATCCGGTCGCAGCCTCCTATAGCTGTGTGTGTTTAGTTTGATCTGGTTTTCGCAACTTGGTTGGGGCAATATTGAGTTTCTGTAGAATGTAGTCAATCTTGCATCCCTGATAGTCGACCGTCCGATGCTGGAAAGTATCATGACTGCAATCGCAGGGGACGCAGGATTTCCTGTTGTTCCGACAAAGTTGCAATATTTATATGCGGAAACGCTTCAGAGGCTAAGATGACGTTTTTAATGAAGTCAATTCAAGTCTAGGGTCATTCTGCTCTAGGTTTTCCATACAACTCAACGAAGGTTTATACTCTCTTTGCTGCAATAAAATTTAGCATTGCTTATTTAAGCATGATGCTACAAATTAAAACTAAATAGTAATACCAGATGCCACTGTGTTTATCAGCCATAGCCAATTTAGTGAATGAGCATATGATCCACTACAGGTCTTCTAGAATTGTGCTGGGGGATAGTTTAAGTAGATATAACTTCTTAAAAAGCAAACTTCCTTATACTTTAGAATTCTACTGTACCATACATACTAATATAGCTAGTTCAGAGTTAAGGCGCCGCAGTTTCTACCTCGCCTAATATTAATTAATAAATATAATTTTTCTGGTACCTAAGTAAGGTAACTTAGGGGAGAGGTTTGAAATATAATTATTCCTTTTGTTATTGTGCCCATACTGAATATAAGCAATAAAATATCGTTAAGAAGCTAAATTAAATGCAGTCAACTAATATAAAAATATATTTCGGAGGCCGTGTTACTCATATTTTTATTAAATACCACGAAGTATCTTGCTATTGGCGAGAGTTTTAACCTTCCACGGAAGATAGGATACTTTATTTTTCATTTGTTGTCGATATTAACTCTGTCCACAATAGTGTTTATAAAAGGCTTGATTTTGCGTTTTAATTCGCAGTATTGTGCATCTTAAGAGGCTGTTTTCACATAGACTGGACTGTATTTTGTTCTTGCATAAGTCTGGACATGAATTGTTGAAGACTTTACAGGAATATTTAGTTCTAAGATTTTTATTTAAATACGAAAAATATCTTGTGGAAGAAAAACTGGGTTTCGGTAATCTCCTGAAATAACATTGTTTTTAATCTACAGGCGTCCACCAATATGGAATCTGTTCAAATATCATGTCGTTTGGTTAAGACTAGGCTCATGGACAGCATTAACAGGCTACACGAACTAATTAGAACCAAAACTAGGCTTGAGCAATCCCTTTCTGAAATAGTGATGGATGTGGATCTCCTTAAGTTACAAGACATGGCTGACGGGTTAGGAAAGGCGACTGATAGAATGACTTGTAGGATACATGATAAGAAGCTCCGGAACATGGGTAATATTATTAGGTCGAGAAATCTTGCGCATAAGGTAAGTCCCACTAACCATGGTTGT